ACCACACAGACACACACACACACACACACACACAGGCAGGAGATGTCCGTGGCCAAATTAAGGACCAGCTCAGAAATCCATTAAAGCAGATTGAAGACAACAAAGTTGGAGTTTTCTTTCCCAGCTAGATTGACTTTCACTCAGTAATGTGTGGGAACAGCTGTGCGCTGCGCAAGAGTTTCCTAAAGCAGAGAATGTGTGTCCTAGTATCTGTGTGCAAGATTTCCCAGCACATTCACAGCGTGCATTATGAGTTTATTCCTGCGTTACTGTAACGCTCACAGCAGATTCAAACAAGAGCTCTGCTTCCACAGACGCACATGAAACGCCTGTCTTTACATCATCATAAAGCAATATTTGATCCAGCTGTTGCTATTTATAATTATGTTCTTCATTTATAGATGATTAGTGCTTTTTTTACTCCTGAATGTGTCCTGCACATGAGCGGCCCTAAACACAGCCGACAGGCACAACTGTTCCTGAGAAACAAAAGCGCTTCTGTTTTACTGGAGGAGCGCCAGTTTATGAACATCTGAACGACGCCACACAAACACCCACAGACAGGTGTCTGGAGAACTGGAGGAGAGCTGCTTTCAACAAAACACTTTGCTTTTCTGATTTGTTTTCCTCATGTATTGTGTAGCAGCAGTGGCCACACACAGCGAACATGTAACATACACAGATAACTGCTGCTCTCATTAACCATTAGTGCTGGAGTAATGAGACCACACACACGTCTGACAGAGACACGGCCTTCGTGTGTGTGTGTGTGTGTGTGTGTGTGTGTGTGTGTGAGAGAGTGTGTGGTCCAGGTATTTTTTTAAAATTGAAAAACATTGAATGTTTTCTGTGAGGGTGAGGTTTCAGGTTGGGGGATAGAAAGTACAGTTTGGACAGTATAGAAATCATTTTGTCTGTGTAGAGTCCCTCAAAAACCATTAGTGTGTGTGTGTGTGTTCTGCAGTTACTCAGTGACCGTGCAGGAGTCGTACGCTCACCCGTTCGATCAGATTTACTACACCAGCTGCTCAGACATCCTCAACTGGTTCAAATGCACTCAGCACAGGTGTGTGCGCTTTACAATGCTTTTCAAAGTTTATTAAGGTGTCATGGAAGCATATTTTTTCATATATTGTCATATTTTGTTCTATCAGATTGAGGTATAACAGAATATTGAATAACCCGTAGCTGTGATTTTTCGGCTGTGTTTAGGGTGAGCTACAGAACGGCCTACCGCAGAGGAGAGAAGACCATGCACCGCCGCAAGTCTCAGTGCTGCCCGGGATTCTACCAGAGCAGAGACAGATGTGTTCGTGAGTGTTACTACTGCACTACTACAGAGACAGAGACAGAGACAGAGACAAGAGAGACAGAGACAGAGAGATAGATGATAGATAGATAGATAGATAGATAGATGTGCAGTCATGTTCATTGGGTCTGAAAGGCTCTTTTGTGTTTATAGTGACTGTAATCACATGCTGTCTCTCCACATCACTGAGTTACTGTTCATCTTTAACTTTCTGCTGGGATTCCTGAAATCTTCTCCTGACGCTCCCTCAAAACTCCTCAGCACTGAAGCTGATGTGATAACACAACACACATGTAAAACATATCTGATAATCACTGAGATATTTGATGCTAGATGTAGAGTTGTGAGGAGCAGGGTTTGGGGTTGTAGGTGTTTGTTGGGTGCTGGTGTAATCTGAGCGCTCTCTCTCTGTCTCTCTTGTTTTCTCTGCAGCCCACTGTGCTGAGAAGTGTGTGCACGGCCGCTGTGTGGCCCCCAGCACCTGTCAGTGTGAGCCGGGCTGGGGAGGGCCCGACTGCTCCAGCGGTGAGTGCTGCAGCTGCGCTCGTCTGTCTCTCTCTTACAGTCTCTTCCTGCGTTTACAACTGCCTTCAGTCTGTGACAGACCACATCCAGAAAGAGCTTTTGCTGCTCTGTAGACAATCATTTCAGTAGTTCCTCAACACTGACAAGAAATATATTGCCCTGTGCTTTTTCTGATTTGAACAAATTAACATATATCAGCTGATTTGGACATCAGTTTATACACATATCAGCTCTAGTAGGAATATCGGTCTGATTTTGTTGGCATCTTCTGTGCTCATTTGGTATGTCTCCTCATCTCTCACACCTGATTCAAGTCAAGTCAACTCAAAGTCACCATTATTTATATAGTGCCGCTTTATATAACGCTACAATGCAGATTGTGTCAAAGCAGTTTTACAGTATTAAATGGGGAAATAGTTTGCCGTTCTCCTCTGGCCAGACGAAACCAGCAGTTTAATTCTAGGCTGCAGCAAACTCAGATTGTGCAGAGGACTCATCTGGTTCCTGTGGTCTTGCCCCGGCCATCTAGGAGACAAGGTCTTCACTGGGGATCTGTCTCTAGGGCTCATCTATTTGTCCTGATCTCCGCTGACATTCAGGGCTGTAGAGGTTAGTGTTGGGGTACTCGGACTCATACTCTGACTCGAGTCAGGTCTCGAGTAAAATTTTTTAAAGGACTTGGACTTGTCACGGACTCGGATGCATTTTTACTCGGACTTGAATCGGACTCGAGCCTTTCGGACTCGGAAAATATGTCCGAGTCCAACTGAGTCCAGGGACAGTTCTATTGGAAATGTCACTGACTCAATGCATTATCACAAAGGTGATATTCAGTATTTGCATGTGTTTTTAAGTTTTGTCCAGTACTTGAAAGCTGACGGGTTTCTGTGCTCACACACCGAAATAACGTGCCTCTCAGTCAGCGTGCGAATGCCGAGTTCTTTCGCTCAAGCTCTCTTAAGTTCTGTTATTGCTACACACTTACACGAAAAGTTATGTCAAAATGCCCGTCTTGGAGACTATTCATGTAAATGCAGTCAGCTTGAGAATGTTTTATTACATTAGTTTGTGTGTAGGGCTTTTATACGTGTGCCATTGTATAGACTAGGTTTATCCCTCACAGCCTCATTTTCATCCAAGAAATTTTTTTAAATGCCCTGTCTAATGTGTACTTTTAACCCAGAAATTAAAATGCAGTTTCTTCTTTAATGGTTCAAACACTGGTGAACAGAATAAGCAGACGCAAACTAATTTTGATTATTCAAAATTCATATTTCATAAAAAATCGTAAAAATGATATAAACCTTGTTTTTTATTGAGATGAAAGGTGCATTTTCTGCTCTTAAGGTCCCATTCACCAAGATACCTACTCTTTTACTCCCACTCTTGAAATTATACATTTACTTTAACAATTAATAAAGTCAAGTCCCGCCCTTTAATTTTTCACATTCTAAAACCTGTTTCACTCTGAAATATGTCACAATACATAAATAAATTCAGCCATAACTTCTGTTACATGACTTTAAGTGTGCTAAGCAAAGCAGGACACTAATTATTAATCAAAAATCAAAATGGCAAGATGCAATAGAGGTTTGCTTTTGTTCATTTAAATGGATATTGCGTTTTTCTAGTTGTAAAGGTTAAAAAAATGTTAAAGCGGTCATAGGATGCTACATGCACTTTTACAAGTTGTTTAAACTGAAATGCGTGTTGGCAGTGTGTGTACACAACCACTCTATAATGATAAACTCTAGCTGCTGCATTTTGGACCAGCTAGAGTTTGTTTATTAAGCGTGCAGAGCAAAGGTTTTTGGTCCTATAAGTAACACCTCTGTTTTATCAGAATTTAGCAGTAAGAAATTACTCATCATCCAGTTTTTTGTATCAACTATGCATTCTGTTAGTTTTGCAAATTGTTATGTTTCGTTGGGCAGTGAAGAAATATAGAGCTGAGTATCATCAGCATAACAGTGAAAGCTAACACCATGTTTCCTGATGATATCTCCCAAGGGTAACATGTAAAGCGTAAAAAGTAACGGTCCTAGTACTGAGCCTTGAGGTACTCCATACTTCACTTGTGATTGGTATGATTCCTCTTCATTCACCGCCACAAATTGATGGCGGTCAGATAAGTACGATTTTAACCATGCCAATGCACTTCCTTTTAATGCCAACATAATTTTCTAGTCTATTCAAAAGAATGTTGAATGATGAATGATTCAGCTCATCTAGAGACAGTAAGAGCTGGATTGGGTGTGCCTGATGAGGGGAAATGTGCAGCGCTGAGGCTCCTGGACAGGTTTGAGAAGCACCGATTTACTCAATGGCTTGATTTAGCAGCCGACTGCATGAGTCCTTACATATCAAAACAATCATTTCCCACACATCAGGCTTTAGAATTAACATGGTTACTTATATGTTGCGACATCTTTCAGTAAAATTGTGTTTGAAAAGTAGTGACTGGTCCACAAAAGAGTCCACAGAGAAATGTGAAATGTAAAGAACAAAATAATTATGATCTACTGACATGATCAGGCACTTCACTGAAAATGAACAGGCATTTCTCTAAGGTTAAAATCCCTCAGAAGGTCAGCAGAGAGCATGTATTCACTGCATTCACTGCAAGATCGAGTGTTGATCTGTGTCTGTGCAGACAGTCTTAGACAGATACATTCATCTCTATTATATAATAAAGAAGAGGATGTGGAAAAACTGTTTAAAAGCTGTTTTTGGACTAACAAGGACGTTTTGAGTTATGAGTTTAGACATTATGAGTTTATAGTACGATGACCTCTTATATGTCAAAAGATCTAAGGAAATGTAAAAATCTAAAATGCTGTAGTAGTTTAATATTGTGATTAAATGTAGTTTAAGGGTCTAGAAGAAATCATTACTTTAAGAGAAATGTGAATCTAAAATGTAAACACTATTATGCATTTACAGCTATAGAAGTGTAAAATATTTAGGAATCCTTTTTATCATAAATATATTTATTTCCATTTTTTTCCATTTTATAGATATATTTTAGATCCCTTAAGCCTATCCCCAAACCTAAAAAGTAACCTCTTTTCAACAGTGTAAAAATGTAACAGGTAGAAAAATATAGTGGCAATAATTGTTATTTTTGCATTTATAGTTACTTATCATCACTAACAGTACAGTGCTAGATTATTTCATCCCTGATACAGTAAGTTTTGAATACATATAGGTCGGGTCCTTTGATGTCCCTTCATAACTCGCGCATAATCCATGACATTTCTTTATCAGAACGTGTTTTGTGACCGCCATGTTGCATTCAGAATGTTTTGGGGTTGAAGAACAGATAAATATCATTGCACTTCACCATATTATTCTTATATAGTCTTGTGCTTTATACTAAGAAAAAAATCTGTGAAGTGTACAGATTTAAAAATGTCCAGTGTAAAAATGATGATCGTGATTTTGTTCCAAATACAAAGTTGAAGGTTTGAGCATGACAAGGTAACACAATTAAATACTTACAAAGACTACCATAGAAACACCCATGTTTCAGCCATGTGGTCAGAAAGACTTGTGCAACATCACTCTGTTAAATGTGATATCAGACAGATCATCATATTACATGCAGAGGAGGAAACATGGTTATGATACGGAAAACACATAATGAATGAGGCAAATCAACTCCTATTGCAATGAAAATCAAACATTTACAAACTTTTTACATTACATACTAAACATGGTTCAGTCTGTCAAATAACGTGAGTAATTATCAGTACGCTGTTCATTTGATCAGTAGTACTGGATGTGTTGTCAGGAGTCTGGAGTCTCTCAGCATTAGTTAACCGCTGCTAGTCCTGCTCCTGGTTTTATTATAGTGGCTTATGGAGAAGGATTTGGCAGCACGGCAGCAGTCAGCTGTGATATGACTTTAATTAGTCTGAAGACTCATTGTATCTGGCCTTTCCGGGCCACAAGACGCCAACAAAACACCCTGCGCTGAATTAAGGCTGAAGGAAAAAAGGCCTTTTCTTCATCCACAGAGAGCAAAACAAAGAGAAGGCACTGATTGGCCAGAAACACAGGAAATGACCTCAGGGCTGAGCTCATGTGATGTCAGATGTAGGAAAGGGCAGCACAATAACAGAACATGCTCAGACAGACCTTATTGCCCCCAATCTCTCATTCAGATATCAAAAAGTGACATTACAGTCCTGCTTTATAGGGCTGAGTTGACCACATATATATTATTTTATGACAGCCACTGTTTAAATGTTTATATTTAGTAGAAACGTAATGATAGCATTACAAATGTATTATTGTTATTTATTATTAAAAAAATGGTATACTAATCAGTTGTTGAGTTTGACCGTATTATAGTATGAAATTGACCATATTATAGTAATGTATCTCTCTCCATGAAACTCTCCATAGACATACAGTAGAAAACATGTAATGGTTTTTCTACTGTACAAACTATTTTCTGTTGCCCTACCCCAACCCTACACCTAAACCTACCCCTTACAAAAAACTTACTGCATTTTTACATTCTCAAAAAAACACACCATTTAGTATGTTTTTAAACCTTTTGAATTACGGGGGCACAGACAGTGTCCTCATAAACCACCTTCACATTGAAATACCTCTGTCATACCCATGTCATTATACAAATCTGTGTCCGCATAAACCACCCAAACCAGAGCTCAGTTTCGTGCTTGTGTTGTTGTCGCTGTCTCATCCTCTCAGTCAGAATTAGACACTAGGAGGCGTCACCTGTGTGCTGTGATCTGCTGCTCGTCTGCTTCAGACGCCGGCTGACTGATGCTTTGTTCTGAAAGGGTTTGCGGTGTTCGGTTCACACATGAAGGTTTTGCATTCGAGCCAGTGAAAGCAATGTTTCTTGTGGATTTGCTGAGCTGGTGATGGACGAGAGTCAGCGTGGACGACCTGCACGTCTGCTCACTGAACCGGGTCACGATCACTAAAGCACTCTGCTTACTTTAGCTCTTCTTAGCCTGAAGAAACATTACTGAGGTTTCAATGAGGTCGTGTGGAAGACATCAACAACCACAGTCTGACAAATAAAAGATGAAACGCTAATATATTCAGCACTAATACACAGCTGTGGGATTATGCAGACGAAAGCGCTTCAGTGCTGATCTCTAGACAGATTCTCGTTTGAACTAGTGACAGATTTCAGCGTTGCAAGCATCCTAGGAAAAAATGTGCAACACTGCAACTTATAACAGATGCTTAACAGCACAAAAGAAAGTGGAAACGTAAGGATATCATTTCTTATTATCTCAATATCCAAAATCTGGGTAGAGTTGGGTATATTTAAACTAGTTTCATGATTCAGTTTTGATTCACAAGCTTGTGATTGGATTAAATTCCATTCTTGATTTGATTCATTTGGATACATGTACATGTCAATTTTTCTCAAGGAAAAAAAAAACTTTCAACTGATATCGTTGTAGCAAAGTTTGCAGTTCGGGAAGAAGGACGAGGAAGTCAGGGGTGGTGGGTAGACCTCTTATTGGTCGCCACAAACAACATATAACACAATGAGCGCTTCTCGGGTTTCGCAGTCAGGTGTCGTCGCACACTCTGCTGTCTCTCTCTCTCAGGTCGGCGGCCGCTTATCTCTCGTCTCCCCGCCAATCACTGGAATTGCAAACAGGTGTTAATCATTATTCACTTGACCTCCTTATCACCGCTCGTCTCCAAACCCGCTCTCATTAGCTCTGCGATGCACATGTGTGTCTTTATTAGGTGATATTGGAAAGTACCAACCCAGTGTTTATAAAGCCAACATGCAAAAAAAGTCATTGCCCTTTACCAAAATGTAAAACAACGATGTTTTTTAAAGTTGGAGGAGAAAATGAGATGGAGTTTTTAACCAAAGTACAAAGACGAAGAACTAACCGCGCGTGACCTTTCCAACAGGATTACGTAATGTGTGAAGACGCGCATCGCAGAGCTAGAGCAAGCCCAGCATTTGTGGTTAAAAAATGTATACATTTTTTTTTTTTCAGAAAATGACTGATGGATTCGCTAGATAAGGCCCTTATTCCTCGGCTGGGATCGTGTAGAGCTTTTTTATGCTGCATTGAAACTGCATTTTGACCTTGAAATCGTTGGCCACCATTGAAGTCCACTATATGGAGAAAAATCCTGCAATGTTTTACTCCAAAAACGCAATTTCTTTGCAACTGAAGCAAGAAAGACATGAACATCTTGAATAACATAGGGGTGAGTAAATTATCAGCAAAATGTTTATTCTGGAAGTGGACTACCAGAATAAACCATGGTGAAACCGCAGTAAAGCACGGCCTCTGGTGGTTTGTCATAGCTTTAGTGTCTGTAGTGCAGGATGTCCTGTGGTGTGTGACGTGAACAGCAGCTCTGTGTGTTTGCGCAGCCTGTGACGGTGATCACTGGGGTCCACACTGCAGCAGCCGCTGTCAGTGTCAGAACGGTGCGCTGTGTAACCCCATCACCGGAGCCTGCCTCTGTGCAGCCGGATACCGCGGCTGGCGCTGCGAGGACCTCTGCGAGCGCTCCACCTACGGACACGGCTGCCAGCAGAGGTGCCTGTGCCAGAACAACGCCACGTGCCACCACGTCACCGGAGAGTGTGTGTGCAGCCCGGGATACACGGGAGCCTTGTGAGTTCACCTGCATGCGCAATATACACTGCCTGTGCGCAGAGTGCGCCGTTTGTCTGATTGTACGCAGTAGCTGTTAAAAAAAAAAAAAACTTTCATTCTATATTAGTTTTTTTCAACTGCTTGAACACAAAATCTTTACTTGTCACACAGTTTCTGAAAGCTGACACTCAAACAGCAGAAGCACACACCAAATCTGCA